CCTATCTTTCTGATATTAACTTTTCTAACTCACAGTCAGAATGGTTATCTGTTCTAAACGGCATTGAACAGTGTTGCAAAAGTTACAGTAAAATCATTCTTTCCGCTGCAACTCTCGTGACACGTCAGCAGATAACGACGCAGCGAGATATTCAATCACTGCAGTTAATCAAGGAAAATAGAAAGAAAAATGAAGTAGCAAACGTCTAATCAGGGCAATTTCAAGTGAAATGAACTCAAACAAAAGAGAGAGAGAGAGAGAGAGAGAGTAAAATGAAGTAGTACAGCGACACTCGACGGGATCGTTCGATATATGTAGTCTAGCTTAAGCTGGAGTATTTTCTTACCGACGAACAAATCCACGATTAGGCGGTAATAAGCAATTGTTTTGCGTCACCCAGTAACCCAGCGAAGAGATAATGATTTTTCATTAAATGATGTATGCTCGTGACGATGACACGGCAGAAGCTTTGTTTCACGAGCATTATATTCTCTCGGAGAAAGACCGACAAGAGCTTCCCGACCAAAAGCTCTGCGCTGAAAGGTCAGACTGTTTTCGTCTGGAAGAAGAGAACAACGGCCTTGCCGTGATCAATGACTCGAGCGTTTAATTGATCGGCCGAGTGTACACCGCTCAGAGTGGCTGCGAGAACGCTCGAGACATCGAGAGGATCCAATCGATCTTGACGGATTTAAATCGCCAACCCATTTCGTGCCGCGAGATTAGATAACAGGTTCGACGATTCGACGAAGTATCGAGCACACCGGCGCACTTGCGATCACGTTCGCGTTATGCAATTTTCGATTTCAACGCGCCAATTAATCAAAAATCGTTTCACCTGTCTGCCCTACCCTTGCCCGGTAATCTTCCTCCGAGCGTTTAATCGTCCAGACGTTGCGACTCTCGCGTCATTGTTCGTCGCGCACGAAGATTTCGTTCGTTCCGATGCATGCAGCCGCCGCTGTTCAACAAACAAAGTCTTACGCTTTATCGAAAGGGATCAGATTGTTTTGAAACGGTTGGAAAATATATCGAGTGGAAATCACCGATCGGCGGTCCGATCCACCGGCGCGAGATTCGTCAAGATCCGGATTAATCGGTTCCAATTAGGCCAATTCTTTCCAATTACGTCGTATCTGTTTCCAGATAGCGAGCGCTTACTGTAAAACGATCGTTCGCCTACCCGCAGGGGTCCATCTGCCTGCTATCTTCCCTCTTTCTTTTTTCCCTTCCATACGTAATCCTTCGATCGTCTGCCCACATGTAACCAGCGTGTGGTTATTTTATACGAACGGGTAATATTATCTCGAATTATATATGTCGTTCAACGCTACTGTGTACGTACACGTATCGTTTTCACGTGTCGTTTTCTGGACGTGGCGCGGCGCGGCGATAACCATCACCCACATCCCTCAATTGGTAAAGACAATCGCTAATACCGTTTTCTCCTCGATTGAGGAGTGAGTCATCCCTCGTGTGCACGTCCTCCCGTCTGCCTCTCGGGAAGCAGAGACAGAAGCGCGAGCCTGCTATAATACCGGCGAAACAATTGTTCGACGGGGGACAATCAAGTGTTAAATTCGTGGCGCCAGCCACTCGTCCAGCCTCGTATCCGGCGCATTGAACTACTTTGTCAAGGTATACACACGCTAGACATTTGCTAGAGGTAATTCCTAGCTCGTGCTTTCAAAATTCCTTTGTTTGAAATTTCAGGATTTCCCGTCATCAAAATACAATCTCACTCCACTCTCGTCCCTCCGAACTATTTATTTATTTATTACGTTTCGACGTACCAAATGAGGAACCATGCGTCACCCGCAGTGTAATTTAATTACCTCGACGTCCAATGAAAGTTATTGCTCGAAATTTTTTATTTGCAGTGAGAGTTGCGTCGACGGAAATCAAAACGTATATATCTAATAAAAAAGCGCACGCGAAGAACTGATAACAGCTGTGCAAGAGGCTCGGGCGCGATTCGACGCGAGTAACTTTCGCCTCGTTGCGAATTGATTTTGCATGCACGATTCGCATCGAGCGAGTTCACAAGTAGCACTGCGAATCAGATTGATGGATTCAAGGCTGCACGTCCAGAGACAATACGTCGAACGCGATTCATACGACGACGTGCAACGTGACGGTGTGTGGTCGGGCATGCTCGACGCTCGTCTCACCGCCCGTGCATGTCCATTTGTGTGCTGACGGATTAAGTTATCTTACAGCCTGTAAATCACGTCCGGTATATACTTGTACAAACAACCGTGTAGGCAGGGTTCGGATGGGAGCTGCGTGCGAGGCGTACCGATGAATAAGAAAACCGATAAAGTATCTTGAAAAACCGCTCGACGGTTTAATACGATCCCGATATCTACGAATTTTCGAGCAACGACGCGAATAATCCAGTTTTTCTTCCAAGTTGAAGAAATTTCTCGCGATTTCTTCGATCTACATTTTCTATCTTTCTAGTCGCCTAAACAATCTCTCATAATTTCTCTTCCTCGCTTGTTCTACTCTGCTGCCAAATTGGAGCATGGCCCTCCTCGCTCTAGAGTTTTCCTATTTTCGCGGTAAGAGTGTAAGCAATTTCCCCCGAGAAGATAGAACGAGCCTGGGACCACCTTTCTGATACTTTGGGGAAGGACGCAGCCGCGACGAGATGCGACTGATTGTGAGTGAGTATGATTGATGCGATTTGTCGCACACTTTCGACGCTCAACATCTCGCCCCGGTGTCTAGCTACGCCCCTGACGATACTTCTTTTTGTCGTACGGTGCGTATCTTTCGCTATGGTTCAGTTCGTAAATAGTTGAAGAAAATGTTGCTACGTTTCAGCAGTGGCGTGGATATCTTCTCGTGTCGCATCGATGATTCACCGAATGCATAATAGTTGAATTTGGAACACATTATGAGAAAGGTGTGTGTAACTTGTGTTTGATTGCGCAGCGAGTTCGACGATCCTGCTCCATTGTACTTTGCGATCGAGCAGCTTATTACCCCGTTTCTCGAAAATTTCTGCTCTCTCGTGAAAAACTTTTACGTTGAACAAGTTTTACGAAGATGATTCAGAGGGAATTTAGGAAGGGAATCTTGAAAGGAATTTCTATTTTTTAATTTTGTATTTCATATCGCAAACAATCAAAGATCGAAGAAGGTGGGAAAACTGCGAATTTCTGAAATTTCATTGTTGAGAATTTCGCGAGAACTCGGCTACGAGATATACGCGAATTATAGAAGGAAAGTAAATTGTGCGTGGAAAATTCTTCCGCGGATAATCTGTTCCGTGAACAGAGTGCAATAAAAGATGTACGTCGTAATCACTTAAGCTATAATGGATCGTCTCGGACGGATGTGTGTTGTCGTTCGATGCGACTCGGCAGTTATAGATTCCAGTACGGAATAGTACATAACTTGGCGAAATTTCGATAAAAATGTGTCGTAGAAATAAATGATCTTGCAACGTGTTCGAACAACGTGGAAAGATATTAATCAGAAAAGGAAAATAAAGTGACAGACGAATACGAGCAGCGATCCACTTCCAAGGAAAATCAAATGCTCCAAATCCTCGAGTTATCGGGTAATCTGGTTCTTAATGTGTTTTCATGCGTTTTTATCGAGTCAAAGAAAGCTAAAAATTTAATGCAGTGTGATTGATGCTATGTAACGACGCGACGTAGTTTCGTAGCACTTTGTTCTCGCGATCGCTGCGAGGAATACCTGAATACCTGTGAAAAACGAAGACTAAGAAACGATGTTTATCTGGGTGAAAAGAAAAAAAAAAAAAAATACTCCGAAAGATACAATTGACAAATCGGAGTAGTAGATCTATTCGCAACAACTTTCTGCCATTACTTCGTCGTCGTTGGCGTGTGCAAGCCTGGTCAGAATTCAGCAAATGCGTCTACCACGCGGCATGCAGAAATCGTCGAGGAAACGGAGCGGCGCGTTTACTTCCGGGTATGTAGGAGCAACGCGCACAAATATCAATCAGTGGAGTCAAGAGTAGAATCAGGGTGGCCGAGTGGTTGCACATAATGCTGCAACCGGAGGTGAGAGCACAGCGCTGCACACCTTGTCTCGTGTCCATTCGCCACTGGCTCCCTAAAACCTACACAGCAGCAGGTGCTGGTCCACCAGGACGTGTATTCACGCGGCGCAGCATCACCCACACGATCGTCTGGGAAACGAATAAACATATCCACCGGTGTGGTGCTCCTACGTGAGCCCTATACACACACATACATACAGAGTCGGAGGAGACGACGTGTGTTGGTGATGTTGGGTAGCGTGTGCGGTGGCATCGGCTCTGGGGAATCGTCGTCGTTTCGCCTGTGTGTATTTGCTCGTGGTATCCAAAGACTTGCGTCAGTGTGCGTGATCAGGGCCATGGTGAGTGGTTTCGTAGGGGTGGAGTAGGGAAGAAGAAGGCGTGCCTCGGAGGCGGAGTCTCCATCGAAAATCCCGGCGTGCATCCAACATCTGTGTGGGTGTTCCAGCTCGTAGTGTCTCTCCGTCTCTCTTGGATGTATCGTCAGTGGATGATCCAAGCTCGTGTGCGTTTTCTCCCCTCTCTTTCTCGCAGTCTGACTCGCGACTTTCGTCCGTCATCGCATGGGAGTTCCTCCGCTATCAGACCCGTTAACAGCAGTCGGCGTCGAGGCAGCCGCTATAACGTCTCTCACATCCCCGGGTGCTGGTGCTCGGCCGTTCCTGACCTGTCCGGCCGATGGGCCGCACGGAAATCAGTGTCCTCGACAGCCGGAAGATCGTTCCATTTGATACGTGTTGATCGTTGTTGTCCGACCAACATCATCGAGCAAGCAATCGTCTTCGACGCCCGTCGAACGTCATTTGTTCACCAGTTCGATCGAAGAGTCGACGTCGTTGAAGTGACAGGGCGAAAGGCTTTCTTCCCCCAGCTGGTTGTCGAGAGCTCGAGCCTTCATGGAAAGGGATGATTTCCGGAGATCGTTGAAGAGGAACAGTGCCGGTGAGAAGGTTTATTCGGCCAGTCTACACGGAGCAGCGTGCATTATTGTTCGTTCCTGTAATAAATAAGGGTGCATGGTTCGCTGAGGCCCCGGGTGGTGGTGCAACCCCGCTCCTCGAGGGGTGAATGTCGTGTGCAGTGAAGAGAGGATTATTGTAAAGGAGATAGTGATCGAACATTCGGAGCACGATGATGGAAGTGCAGCAGCAACACTCGCCTGTAGGGGTGGGTCCTCTGGACTTTTCACGCAGGGGTGTCGCCGAGGCGTCCGCTTTTCGTGTTGTCAAGCCGAAACAGTCGGCGTCCTCGTTGGTGCATCAACAAGCGTTGTCACCGGAGGCGAACAACAACGAGAATCTTCAGGAGAACCCGCAGGTCCCTGTGGAAGCTGACGGTAAGAGGTTCTTTCGCAATCGACGCCGCAATTTTATCGATTCGCCTTTTCCAATCTTGAATTAGCGACTGATCGACAGAGAGAAGGAAGAAAATTACCTGCTAAAATCGATTTCGTCGATTTGAGAAATTGCAAGGCAGCGAGTCGATGCGCGGATGACTCTATGAGTATGATGACTCTCGATGTAGATTGGACATTGTTTTCAATGGACATCAAACCGAATTAGAATTATATCGTGCGGTCTCAAATCGCAGTTACGTCACCGTTCAAACCGGTCAAATTGAAATTTCTGTTTCTAATCTAATGACACAATATCTAATGACACACGAGCTTCGATACTCCCATTATCTGTCATCCCCAATGAACGCTTACAAAACGTGCAATTATCGTCGATTGCAAGCACGTGAATTTACATTCGATCCACTGGAATCAATCGTCGAAATTCAGTAACTAAAATTTGTATTAAAACACCCCGTATACCAGAGAACAAAGTTAAAAAGAAAAAGGGGGAAAGAAAGATTTTTTACTCGGTAAAATTATAATTAAACGTAGAACGGGAAATCGTGTTTATTTTAGTCGAGTCAGACAGCCCTTCATCCGCCTGAAATCGATAATAGACAAAAATCTGCTCTTCTATATACCGAAAAGGAAACTTTCTCATTTCGGTGGATGTTAAAATTAAAATCAAACGCAGAACAGACGTTCGACCACTTCAAACTTGTTCTCTATCCATACAAAAATATCTATCGAGATCGATCCTAAATCGTGCGCCAAGACAGATCAATTAGTGCTACGTTGTAAAACAGAACTGCCAAAAGAGAAAGAAGAAAGATCAAAAACAGAAGAACGTAAAATTGCATTCTACGCTGTACCGCGTGAAACGTAATCGCTCCCCGATCGTTTCTGCGTTTCGCGGATTCGCGTCTCAACCCCTGACATTCATCCCCTGTTGTCGCCTGTCATCATGCTATCTATTACCTGCCCATTATCCCTGCACCGCGCCGTTCACGCCCTTGAATCCGCGCCACCACCTGAGCTGACTGTCCGCGCGTGTGCGTGCACGCATTTCTGGCCGGTGCGTGCACCGATCGGGACACCGAGTCCCTGCGATTGGTTCTGTGTTGGCGAAACACATGTACACGCGCACACGCTCCACCGTCGAACGCTTGTTTCCACTACGTGGAGTCGAGTGGATGCATGCGTGGGTGCGTGCAGGTGCGTAAAGGGCGCGTACAAGAACGACGGTTCAACAGGTGAGAGGGGATGAACGGGCATTAGACGACTACCTATACTAATGCCGCTAATCGGGCAAACAGCTAACGCAATAATATCAAGCTGCTAGCGTGTAGGAATATCGGCTTAAACGGTTTACGCGATAATTGCCAGGTGATGGGCAGGAGAGGGTTTCCTCTCCTTAGGGGTGGGATGCTTGATGTCTCGTTTGGAGGATCGAAAGGGTGGGTTAGTGGTGACGAAGGTTGGGACACTTCGATTCATTTGGCTATTGTCTTTGTTAATTAAATTGGACTTGCCTTGGTCGGACGAAGTTTCATTTAGAATCTGAGCATTAGGGTGAGTGATTACGATAACGTGAATTACTATTACAGGTGAGGGGAGGGTGGGAGGTTGCAAGTAGCTTAATCGTATCGTAGATAAGGAGTAGTTAATTGCAGGTGGAAAATCAATCAAATGCAGATTTAGATAAATGCGGATAGCTCTACGGCGGCATTCGTTTGTAGCTATTCTCTTCTGTACGAATGTCTTTGATATCTGGCAAATCTAATTCCTAGATCGAGTCACAACCGTTGTGAAAACGAAGATGAAATAATTCTTGGAACAAGCAAATCATTCTTTTTTTCTTTTTTTTTTTTGAAAATCAAGATAAAAATCGCTTTTGAACAAATAGAAACAGAAAGTATCGTTGTACTATTACACGCATGTTTTCTCATTCAAATTGACAAACAAAGTAGATCATTCAAGATCGTAGTCGTAATTTGCCAAGATGTGTCGATTGTGTAATAAAGATCATTGAAACAACAAGGTCTCGCCAGTATTTTCAAAGGAATGAAAGACTGAGAACTGAGATATAGATTCCGTAAGATTTGCCGAGTGGACGGACGAGTGGCGTGTTTTTTTAGAAACAGGAGATCTAAGAGTCTTGGAGGTATCGATTGCAGCTTGTTCAAACAAAAAATCGATCCCCGTGGCCCTAAGCTGGTTCCGTAAGCGCGAGCATCGTGCGCAGGTGGTTATTCGCAAGTCGTGGCCGCGCGATTGCTTTTCCTTCGGAAATCACGCTGCTAGGATTTACCGTTTATAGATTTACGGGCGAACGATAGCGCGCGAAAGAGGCACCACGCAGGATAAGCGTCGCGCGAGCAAACGCAGCAGCGATATCGCTCGATGCCTCGCGCACACGGGCAACAAACACGCGTTACCTGCGCCGTGTGTACACACTCAGTATCGATGTTGGTTTGTGCACCTCTAACCGGCCTGGCCATCTTATCTCGGCTGTGCGTGGTGCGCTCGCTTTATAGGAAAATATGATTTATTTCTGATAATCCTGCGAGAATGAGATAGCCTTTGCGGCGTGGCGCGCTAATCTCTCGCCGCTATCTGAGATTATCCCGGCCGGTACTA